GTGTCATCCAGGCTGCATCCATTGCTCTTTCTTGCTAAACCCCTGTGAGAGCTCCCAAAATATATTTGTCAGCAAAGCTGCCACTGTCTTTGAAGATGACAGGAAACAGGAATTGCTTTTATAAAGTGATTAACCTACATTTCAAGCCTGTTAAACAAGGGAAGAGGAACTGTTACTATCCTCTTAATCATTTTTTATTTATTTTTAGTCAGTAACAACAATGCTATCACTTGCCCCCCAAGTCATGTTATATTGACAAAGAGGAAGGAATATGATGTTCATTTTCCTCAAGGGCATCTCTCAGACATGTAAGCTGACTTCCTTATTGATTGGTTCCTGTCAATATGTAATCAGAGGTGTGGGGATCATTTCTGTTTTAGTCTGTAACAGATCATTTCCCCAGRGTACTCGATGTAGGGGAATAGGGATTTAGTTGTTAGGTATTTATCTTCTCATTTGAACATGTATTTTACTGCTGTGGAAGGAGCAGGACTGGCATTGAGTAAGTACAATAAATGGGAACTAAATGGACTTTAGGAAAAAGGCATTTTTGTTCTCTAAAATTCTCAGTGTAGCAAAAAGAAAGGTTGAGTGTTTCATCATAAATAAGGTGTGTCTCAAAGAACTTTTGACAGATGATGGCAGAGAGAAAGCTCAGGTTCTCAGGGAAGTTTTGAAAAAACAAGGTCAGTACTTCGCAAAGAAAGCTTTTTTTTTTTTTTCTTTTAAGTCTTTCAGGTAGTCTCAGGGATTAAAAAATGAGTAATTTAACAGCTAGAAAAAAAATAAATCCTTCCCAAGCTCTTAAATGTTTAATACCTAACTAGGAGCCTCAAAATTGTCTTCTCTATATTAAATAATGATGTCTTATTAAAAACTTGTTAATTGGTGTGACACTAAATGCAAGTTTGTACAGGTCTCTTTCACTTCAAGTTCTGTCAGCGTACTATCTTCAACATTTCACAAYGTCTGTGTTACAAAACAATTCCAGTAACACTTCAAAATATTGTGTCTTGAAAACACAATGACTATGAATGAGTATCAAGAGCCTGTCTTCCTATTTGCCCAAAATACACAGCAGTGCTAAGTGATAATGCAAACTAATCTGAATCAAGGCCCRGTGGGTAGTATCAGAAATACATGCATTTTGCCATAAGGACTCTTTTTTAATAGAAGCAGAAGAAACCCATCTGAAATAGACATGAAAAAAGCTGYGTTATGCCACGTTGTGCTATTACTTATTCCTTCTCATCTTAACCTTTTAAATGTGGTTAACCATTGATTTTATAGTTTTTAGTGATAAGTCTTACTTTTGGACAGTGAGAGAGCATTTATATCAAGCAGCAACTTTATTCTTGGTGCAGCTGTCAAGAACCAGAAGATCAAAAGAAGACCTTATTGATGGCCAAGAACTCCATTACACAATCAAGGAATTGTGGAAGACGTGGAAGATGGAAGATATCCATCCTATCATTGATGTCAAGTCCTTAGGGAGTAACCAATTAACAATGGATTTGTACAACACCTTTAGCAAGTCTTTCCTCCCATGAGTGTTTTAACACTTTTAAAGAAAACTACTCTGTAGCCTTGTGTAAAATAACATCGAGAGGGGCTAAAAAAAAAATAATAATCCTGCAGCTGACTCTTTTTCTTTCGCAGAAGGGAGGCAAAATGTGGTAGTGGCCTAAGCAGTTTTGCAGATTAGGTGAGGGGGTGGAGGTATGAAGTCGGTACAGAGACTCTTTCAACAGCCTTGCTGTCCTGATTTCAGTGCAGTGCTCAGGAGATCACAGCAGGGTGTTCTATGATGCTCTTTGCAGAGACTGAAGCTGCAGTGGTGAAGATTTTGAAGGTCGAAATGTCAAATACTTTTCCTTAAGTACCTCAAGACGCAACCTTCAATCTTCAAAAGGAAAACAGAGATTTAYTTTCCAGCCAATTGTGGAGCTCCCCTCTCATTGCTAAATTCAACTCCAAGCTATCCTACAGCACTACAAGCATGTGCTTTCAAGCCATGTAAAATATCCCATTGACAGCACAAGGACTAATCCATTCAGGGGCGCATTCTCTTTAAACACCTAGGGGCAAAACCACATTCATTTCAGGTTTTCCAACACACTGATAATAATTAAGGGGCTTACTTAGGCTWTCCATGAATGAAGTACTTCACCTCTTAGTTTACAGTTATGTACCTGGGTTCATTCTTGTTGATGCACAGCTGGAGGTAAGAGACATCATTTTTTCAAGGTCATTGTAATTGTTTTAAAGCAGGGAACAGATCCTGCTGGGTGTCTTCCAGCAGTAACTRAAGTCATAATGGATGAAAGGTTAAAATACTGTTTTCTCATTACACAGAAAAGTGGTTTTCTGTGCTGTTAKTTGAGTTACAGTGCTTCTCGTGTATGGCTGTGCATTGGATTTATCATAGTAATCAGAAAAGTCTTAATCCAAAATGCTAGATTTCCTTAAAAAATGCAACTCTTTATTCACAGTCCTCATAGTTATAGTAACAAATTTAAAAATAYGAGCCAAACAGTGCAAAAAACTGCTGGTGTGGTTGAACACCTCTTGAAACAACAGCACTAAGGGGAATGAAAAACTGCATACTTCTTAAGAGAAAGATAATTCTTAACTCCTAGACACAAGTTTAAGGGAGGGACATAAAGTAGGGTGAAAAAATAAATGTACACCAAAATAAAAACATACGAAAGAGAAGGTGTCTTATGAGCCATACTAGTCATTGCTGCTATTCAAAGCAAGTGGTAACTGGAAGCTAAATTTCTACTGAGAGCTACTATTCTAAATTTCTAAGCAGATGCTGGTCACTCAGGTCCCTCTCTTCTAATGGATAAATCAAACAACTAAGCAAAAGGATTTTCAGATCATCTTTTTTTCTGTTTTTTTGGGAGTTCACCTGGACTGCAGGATCCCCCAGGAATGCATTTACTTTCTGCTAAAAGGCCAGCCACACACATTTCAAGCAACATTTAAATCCCAGGCAAGTAATCCACAGACTGCTGACAGCAGATGATGTGCAAAATGGGAGCTATTTTGTTCTGCTTTATTGAAACCAGAAATATCCTCCAAATCAGAGGCATTTAAAACATTTATTAGCRTTAATCATTGTAGGTTAAATAAAACACAAAAAACTACATTTTATGGAAAAAAATATCATTAGGTATGATACAATTAATATGTAAAATAGAAGGTAAAGTATTAACAGATTGCAGCACCCCATACATGAAGCAAGTGGGTCCAGCCCAATCAAAGCCCTTATATAAACARAAACAGAGGAAGAGTACCTAGCAGGTGATTTTAAACTGGCAATTCATCACTGACTCTGGTTTAAATAATTAAGGGTRGGTTAGTAAAATATATCACTCTACTGAAACAGCCTGATGACAGTCAGAATGCTCACACATGTAACCTATCTGGTCATGCTTATTCCCATGTGCCATGGAGGATTAGTGAAGACATGGGATGACAGGTAAGTTTTTTGGATATTGATAGAGACTCATGTTACATTGCAGCAGACAGACATGCTGTACCGTGAGCAAAAACAGTAAGTTTTTTTCTTTTGAGTGTCACTTCATTGCTTGTGAGTCCCAATTTCAGAATAATACCAGTCATTTTTAGATTTCTCAGTCTGCAAGACTTTTTCTAGAATATGCCATTTTCACGCAYAAGAATGGCAAGTCAAAACTTGTACCTATGTGTATCTCTATCTTCTTGTTACCTTCGATCCACAACTTTAAGTTCATAAAGGTGAAATGATCATTAACAAAAAAAATGTACTTACAGAATACAATGTGCAGTATATGAGAACCAGACATAGTGAAAAAAAACACTACATGTCAGCAGAACAATAGAAAACTGTACTTATATACACACATATATGCAGAGCATATACGAAAACTAGTTCCTTCATAATTCTGTTTTTTAAACTAGTTCATGACAAGCCAGAAAAGCAAGTCACCCACACTGGACAGTCTGAATCTTGAGTCATGGTGCAAACAARCTCCACCAAATTTCGTTGGCACTACAGCCTGTGCCTCAGTCCTGCTGCCAGCTCTCTTGACAAGATCAGTCTTGGACAAAGCCAGCACCAGCTGGCTAACCCAAAACTGCAGCATTGATATTATTATTATTACTTTTTTATTATTAGAGAAGATCAGTTACACAGTCAGGTRCTCCTGTACAATAATTCAGCTTTTCACCAGCCATTAATGACTAAGAGGAATTCCAGTTGCTGCTGAAACTTTCAGCTCTGAGATGGGGGTCTTTTCTGTCATTTTTCTGGCTGTTTATCAAGGGTGGTGGTACTTTCCAAGCAACACAGGCAACCAATGGAAGCAGAAATCATTAATTTTACATTTTAAAATCACAATTTTGATAACAAACCTTTGCCCATTTAAAGAGGCATGTTAAAGCTGCACCTTAGCTTTGACAAACAGCAGAGAGGTAACAACATTGTCCAAGGTGAGCCCTGTGTTCAGAGAAAACATGAGATGCTCTGCAGAGCACATTGGCCTGTTATTTTTCCTCTGGATTCAGACTTCACTACTGAARCTCCCAGTAACCCAAATCTCACGAATTTATTCAATCAGAAACTTTAATAATTTAAATCTTTTTCTTGACTAAAAGCAGAACAAAGTCATTTAGGTTTGCCCCACCAAAAGCAAAACCTTTTAAGTCACCATTCAAATTTTAAAATCAGTCAGAGATCCACTGCAAAMACTTCCAATTTAAAACTATTTTAACATGTAACTCATAAATCCATTCTGATTGCCATACTGCTCAAAGCCAGCTGCAAGAGCTGATCATTCAGGACAATATCCCATAAAGATCAGCATCAATTGCCAGTTCATAAATTAAGAGTATACAAGGTACTCACAAAATTGTCTTACAAAGCTTTCAGACATCCCAGTTAGGATTTAGTAATTTATGAGATGCCATGTTAAAAAA